CCGGACGTGGTGACTTACAACACGCTGCTCGACGCGGTATGCAAAGCCAGAAGGGTGGAAGAAGGCTGCAAGCTCTTCGAGGCGATGCGAGCTGCTGGCTACGTCCCAAACGTGATCACTTTCAGCACGCTCATCCACGGGCTGTGCCGGACGGGGGAACTGGAGAAGGCCTTGGAAGTCTTCGGCAGCATGCTCGAGGCCGGATGCAAGCCAAACAAGTACACTTACACGACTCTCATCGCGGGGCTTTGCCGGGCCGAGAAGGTGATCCAAGCCAGGGAGCTCTTCGAGAAGATGACTCAAGCGTGCATTCCCCCGGACGCGGTGGCCTACAACTCGCTCATCGCCGGCTACTGCAAGAGGGGCAGCATGGACGAGGCCGAAAAGCTCTACAGGGAGATGTCCGGCGGCGCAGGCTTGCAGCCAACGATTGTGACTTTCAACACGCTCATCGACGGGTTTTGCAAGCTGGGGAAGCTGGGCCGAGCGAACGAGCTCGTCGCGGAGATGGGAACCAAAGGTCTCGCGGCCGATACTTGCACGTATCGCATCCTCATCGCGGGACTGTCTCGAGCGACGAAGCTGGACGAAGCTCTGGAGGTTTACAAGCAGATGAGGGAGAAGAAGTTCTTGCTGGATCCCGTGAGCTGCGTGAGCTTCGTTGGAGGGCTTTGCAAGACGGGAAACATCGACCAGGCTTATGCGGTGTTTGAGGCGACGAGGAAGAGCGGCGCGGTGCCAAACCCGGAGACGTTTAGGATCCTTTCCGAGAGCTTGATCAAGCTCGGCAGGGTTGAGGATGCGCAAAAGCTGATGGAGCCGGCCAAGGCCAGAGACATCACAGCACAATAACAATAAAAAAAGACACTTCAGTTGAGAAGTAGAAATATAAGTAATTGAGCAGGATCTAATCTTTATTCTCAATTTCACAACTTGTTAAGAGTGCATGTAAAGGAATTCACATTTCTTTCTTTTTATTTTTTTATTTTCATCTTGACAATTGCTAAAAATTCCTTTTCTAATGACATTTTATCTACTTTTTTTCTTCTATAATTAATTTTTCATATATTCTCTTTTTTGGCGCAACACTTCAAACTTTGTTTTTCAGCAAATACAGTACTAGACCAAGAATTGATGATATAAATTGTGAAGTGAGATGAATGTAATGAATTTAAACAAATATAATAAGAGTGATGATGAATATAAATGAAAATGAAAATGAGTATAATGAGTCCAAATGGAATTAACACTTCAAAACGTTTTTATTTTTGAGGAGGGGATAAAAAGGTATAAAGAGGATGAATGGAGTAATTTTGACTTTTTATATGCAATGCTAAACAAAATAAAAGTTGTGTGAGTTAATATAGGTCTTGAAAGTTGACTAAAAAGAAGACATAAAATAAGTTTTTGTGAGTTTATAGAGGCTAATTGAAAGGTAAACATAAAAGTGGAATTTATCATTTACTGCAGTGATATTTAGGAGATTAAGTTTGCCCTCGAAGTCCCTTGTTTTAGTTTAGAGTTACAGTTTCAAAGTTAGTTTAAGCAATTAACAATTGTATATAAAATCACAATTCATTCATCAATTGAATGCTATAGCTTTAGGTTTATCATAGTTGTCAACAACTATATTTTATAGGTTAGTGGTCCCATAGGAGTTTCAAGTTCTATGCAATAGCTTAGCTAAAACTTTAAATATTCCACCAAATTTGACTTCTTTAAGTTTTTTTAATTTTTTGGACAGAAAGATGGTGTAAAATCAATTTATCCTTCATAGGATTGCTCATGGATGCCCTGTTGCTAGTGGCCAATTGTGAACTATAATCAATGCTCTCAAAAACACTCTAAATCACACTAAAAATTATGTGTAATCCCTCATTAGAGCTAAAAATATTCTAAGCACATTATTAATTTCTTTAAGAAAAGGGTAAAGCTTTTTTATAGTTGCCTTCCTCTTTATAGCATTGATTTCTTTTAGTTCTCTTTAAATCTCTATATCATAACCTAAATGCCACAATTATATCTAGAGCTTCAATTGCATATGTATACTTTCTCATTGATTTTTTTATTTTTCTTTTGATTCCTTTACATAATCATAATGTATTGCTAAGTATTTAGTTGCAATTTATAGATTTTAGAGCTTTATATTTAGGTGATATCTTAAGTGATAGAATGTTACATGATTGCAGGTATCAAAAGTTACTATTAGGAGTCTTTTTAGATATTCTTTCCTTATTGCCACAATAGCAAAAAGTTGATACTATTGGACCCTTTTTCAATCCCTTTTATTCAAGTGTTAATAAACATGATTTAACATTTGTATTTGACCTGGTTCATTAGTTCTTTTTGGCTCTATCTTGCACTGGCTTGACAAAATCCACTGCAATATTAAAATTAGTCCATCAATACTCACTATATGATAGTTTATTATGTTTGCTAAGACACTCTTGCTATCATTCCCCTATATGTTGGTTTCATTTGGTCCTATTAGCTATTTATAAAAAGTGTTTAGATTTACTAATTGAGCAGATTTAGAGAATTTAGAGATTGTTCTAAACATGAAGGTGTTATTCCCGCTCTCAAATTTGCAATCTAGCATCATTCTATACTTAATAAGTTTTTGTGATTGTCTTAGAGACTAACTTCTAGGATTTGGGGTCAAGGGGTGGGGGGTTAGAGGGTGCTGTGGGGGGTTCTAAATGTACAAATGTATAATAAGGATAGTGGGTGTATATTTAATTGTTATAGTCCTTTAAGTATGGATTTTGGTTACTTTTTTATATTAGATTGTATGAGCTTTCACTTGGGCTCATAAGGTAGATTGAAATGTATCATTTGCACAAATTTGTGCTTGGGCTTGGTTACTTTTTCATATTAGATTGTATAAGTTTTCATTTGGGCTTATAAAATGGATTGAGATATACCATTTGCATAAATTTATATTTAAGCTTATATGTATGTGTTAACATATGTAGCACACTCTATCTCTCTCCTCTTAAACCAACTAAAAAGGGGTTTTAAGGATCTACACTGACAATATATCCAATTCTCATTCTGTGATCACATATGTTATATGCACCCTCCTTCCTTATGAACTATTTACTAATAACCTTTACTAAGCCAATTAACCTCCATTTTCATATTAAATCTATTAATCTTTCCTGTACTATAGTCCCATAGTAGATACCTTTATCCTTCACTGAATCTATCAATTACTTTAAAAGAATACTTATGGATGCCCAAGGTTCTAAGAATTTATGATGACAATATTCAATACATAGAGAGAGTGTGAACTTGTGATTTTCTCACTAGTGCTATGCAATTGGGTCATAACTTTCTTAACTCTTGCACAATTAGCTAGAGAGTGAGTTAGGGTTTTGGTTTTTTAAAGTGTTCCCCCTCTCACTACTGAAGTTTACTATCATGATCTCCATTACTTTTTGACTATGATTAGCAACATTTAGTTTGTTAGATTGTGTGTGGATAGCTTTGTGTGTTATCCATTATCCTCAAATTATAGGAGGCCATTTTTATGAAGGAAAGTTCATTATAAAAAACACTTACACTCCTAAATCTATAGCACTAGAAGGTTGCTAAATAAATATACTCATATGAGTTTTAAAATCTCATATGTGTATTGAATTCAATATATTATTTTCTATAAATGCTTAGAGAATGTTTAAATCACAACCTAGTATAGAATATATACTATATTATGAGTTATACACCACCTAAAGATGGCTTATAAACAATCTAGTTTGAAACTTGATCCTTTTGAGTATCCCAAAACCCTTCGCATCCTTGTTTGCCATAATGTTTGTTAATAGTAGTTGATTGGGTTGTATTCTCTTGTAAGGAAAAGCAAGCAAAAACTCTTTAGGTTGGGGGTCGGGCTATTGTTATTAGAGGTTTTAATAATTGTTAATAATAGAAGATTTATCATTCTTTGGAATGGTGGATTATTCTTCAACAATAATTGTACATATCTATTAATGGGATGATTGATAATCTTCATTATAGTTAGTTATTTTCTTTAATGACTTTTACCTTTTTGTCTTGACACATATCCTTTGTGGTTTGATTTGAATTGATCTTTTTGGTTTGAGATACTAATAAAATATTGCTAACACTTAGTTTAACAACTTTAATTAATTAGTATTATTGATTTAGATTTATTTAAATTGTCTAATATGATAGTTAACATGAATGAGGTTAGCCCTTAGACATTCATTATAATATGTTAATTATTACTAAGGTTGGTTATGATAAATTGGGATGTTATTTTCTTTGGACAATACATTAGAAAGCATTTTTATTATTGAGTAATAATATTTTGTGTCTTTCTAGTTTTTTTTATAAATTGTTTAGCATTTTATCTTTGATATTTGGTAGTTCAAGCTTGATTCTAATGGTTTTTATACTTTGTGTTTTCCAGGTGATAACTTATTTGGAATACTTTAGTGTTCTAATTTAATATTTATTAACCAATAAATCATTGTCTTTAAAAAATCTTTATCTATGATTTTGATATAATCCATCATATTCATCTTCAAGTTTGGGCCAATATAGTTAAAGTGGCTTCAAAACTTTATGTGTATAATGATATCTCTAATCATAATGTAACTACTATTGACTGGTCACATGCAACTCCTGATATTCTTAATTTATGTTAAAAGGCATGACCATATAAACAATTTTAATTACTTATTGACAATAGTTTATTTAAACCTTACTAACAAGTTTGGTTTGTTGCTCATGAGGGTTAATGCTTTTGGCTTCTCACTTGTGGGATCATTTTTTGTAAATTAGGTGAAATTGAGTGATTGACTCCATTAGTCATTTTTTTGTCAATAATGGCTAAATGGTATTTGAGTAGTAGGATGTATTTTTTGTAAAATGTGACACTATGAACTTTTTTGAACATTCAGGTAATATAATTAACATTATAGTCAATTCTTGCTTTAAGTTTTTCTTACTATACATCAATATTGCTTAAAATCAATTAAGTTTTTTTTTTATTATCTTGTATATAAGTTTCACATGATTTAAGATGATGCAAATACTAATTTAGTTTTTTTCATTCTTTTTTATTTAAACTGTATTATTGAAGATACAGTTCCAAACAATAAAAAGCATACAAAAAATATAATAATTTATGCATTTATCATTGTTTGGAGATATTTATTTAATTTGAGAAATAGTGTTTCTTTTAAAATTTGAGAAATAGATCAGCCACCACTTTCGATAATTATAGTAAGCACACTCTATGTATAACTAAGTCCAAAACATCCTATCATAACTAATGCTTGAGGCTGAATGTGAGTTTGACCATGAGAATAATATCTTGAACTTTCTTGAGGCTGAGATAGGCCATAGCTAGGATTCTTGATAATAACTTGAAGTCATTTAAAACTAAGAAGAACTTGATTCTACTAGTCAAATGTAGATTTACCAAGCTTTAGAGCCAAATAGGAACATTAAGATAATACATGTAATATACTAACTACTTCCTAGGCTTGTAAATGATGATGAAATAAAACCTTGATAAGACCAGGGATTGTGGCTCAGGCTTAGTCTTAGGCACTGCCTCATGCTCTGGCTTAGACGGTTGATAGGCTGGGCTTAGGTGGTAGGCCAAGCTATATGTTGACAAGTCAAGTGGGTCCTAACCACAGGTTCTAGACTCACTTATTTGCAGGTTGTGTTAATCAAATGGCACACACTATTTTTAATGGTTGTGATAGCAAAATTTAGACTTATATAAACCTTTGAATTGAATCAACACTAGTCTTGGGCTGATCTTCTTGTGTTTTCTTGCTAACTTTCTCTTGTCTTTCATTATAGTCTTGTGTTCTTTGCCTATTAGTTTTGATAGAGACATGGATCCACAATATAACCACAAACCATTGATGCTGATGTTCCACATACAAGAGGGGACTAAATTGTG